AATGGAAAATGGTAACCCCGTTTCAGCCACACAGCAAAGAGCGATAGCCACTTTTGACACCGCCATATCCTCTCCCATTTGAGGCACTTAAGGTCTGGGTCCAGGGAGGTGAGGTCGCTGGTGCCCCCTCCCCCCATCCAAGGGCACAAGGGTGCTTGCTGCACATGCTTTTTCTTCATAGCTCCACTTAAGGGGCACTTGTCTTGTGCCAGGCACTACGGTGGGCATTTTATGCTCATTCTCTTACGTAATCCTCGTAGCAACCTGAGGAGCGGAGATTATACAGAATCCCCATTGAACGGATGAGACTATGAATGCTCAGAAAGTTCCATGACTGAGCCAGGGCTCTACTGCTAGTGAGTGATAAGACGTGCTTAAGCACTGCCCCATGAATTGTGGCCACTTGGAATGGGCAGATAGCCGGGAGAGAAGCGTAACAGGGTAGAGGGACGAAGAAGGGAACATCTGGGACTGTAGGAAGTTGAACAGTCGCTTCGGTGAGAATGGGCGCGGTCCCAGGGCCCGGCAAGAGCTGAAGTATGCCCCACGGCGATCTATCTGGCGGAGGGATTTTCCGTACGCGGGGGAGCCGAGCGTGCCAGGTGGGGGCGGCCGGTGGGGCGGGGCTTCTTTGGGCCCGCCCCTTGCCCAGGTGAGGCGCCAGCCACCGGGGCCGGAAGGGATGATGCGCCCTGACAGTACTCGCCAGGTGTAGGGTGCCCTGGCTGTCGGGCCAAGCCAGCTTGCCCGGGCCTTTGGCGGGGGTGGTGGAGGAGGAGGGGGCCGCGCCCTGCCAGGCCCAGGTGTCGTCTCCGGGGGAGGAGTTTGAGAACCCGGCCACCGGAGCTTCCCCGCCGGACCCGCGGACGGGCGTCGAACGACTGAAGCCGAGGAGACTAGGCAGAGCTGGGCGGCGCGGGGAGTGCACTGGGCTCACAAACGCGCCGTGCCGCCAGCATGTTCTCCCGAAACCACCGGAGCCGGGTCACCGTGGCCAGGGGCTCCGCCCTGGAGATGGAGTTCAAACGCGGCCGCTTCCGACTCAGCCTCTTCAGCGACCCGCCGGAGGTGAGAGCCCCGCGTCCTTGCTTCCCTTCCCCTCCAGGACTCCCGCAGCCCCCGCCGCCTTGCCCCCGCCCGCGCGCACGCCGGGGGGCGGAGACGCAGCTGGCTGCGTCCAAACCCGCGGTTGTCGACTTAAAAAGTCAGGGAAGGACCGTCGGCACGTTAATGGGACCTGTGCCACCCCAGACACTCCCTGGCTCTGTTGAGATGATTTGCTTTTGTCCAGACAAACTCCAGTTGGCCTCATTTTAAGAGGCCACAGGCTCGATTCCTAAAATGTGCCCGGCCCCTCCTGGGCATCCCCGGGCAAAAGGCGGTGGGCAGCTAGGCGGGGCCCCAACAGCTTGGACGCTTGGCTTGGGCGCCCGGCCGCTCCCTGGCCGCCAGCTCCATCTTGCAACCTGTCTTAACCGTCTGGGGCAGCTTTCAACATCAGTCTCGATTTCCAGGCCAGGTCTGTCTACTTTGCTGTCGTCTTCCTCATCCGCTCCTCTGTTCCCACGAAGGGCTGGGAGGGAGGGAGTGTGTGTGTGTGTGTGTGTGTGTGTGTGTGTGTGTGTGTCAGGGTCCCTCTTTAATGATTAGGGGTTCTTTCCCACAACACCTAAACTTTCAGCCTCCTTTCCTGGGGCTTGAGAGGAGTCCAGCCTATAGTCTGACAAATTCCTCCCACACCCAGCGCTCTCCACGGTGCCCAGGTCTGAGCCCTACCTGTAACTCCCTAACGAGGCTCCAGAGGGGCTGAGCTAGGGCTAGGAAGGCAAGTAGCGACAGCTAAGAAGTTGTCCCCAAGGTCAGCTCTCTTTCTCTGCTGGACCTGGAAGGGTTAAGTGAGGGGCCTTCCTCCCGCCCCACTCTCCCGGCCGGGATTCCAGTCCTGCCTTCTGCCCTTTCCCCCCTAGCCTGCCCAGAACAAAGGCCCTTTCACACCCGCGTCCCGGTGTTCCGGGCCTTCTGTGACTCAGAATCTAGTAGACTTGGAGGAGAGGGCCTTTGTCAGGTCTCCCACAAGCAATTCCACCCGGGTCTAGCGTGGGAGAATGAGGGGCGAGGCCCGGGGCCCAGGAGGAGGGGCCTGAGCTGGGGCTGCCCCGGGATAAGCCCGGTCTTTGGGGGCCAGCGCAGAGGAGCCAGGGCGGAGCTGCAGGACCGGGCTGGCCGCCCAGGAATCGGGGCTGGTTTCCTGTCTGGAAGGGAAGGGGCCCGCAGAGGGGAGCGGGGGCAGCAGCAGACAGGCGCACACCCCTGCCTTTTCCCCTCCCTCTTCTTCCTTCTACTGGAAAAGCGAGGTAATTGTGAGCCCAGGGTGGGGAGGGCTGGATGGGGACCCCAAGTTGGAAGAGGTAGCCCTGCGGGTTGGGCCGCATTTACCCCTTTGTCCCACTCCCTGGGCTCACTCTCCCAAGTCTTCATTTCCATCCCTCTTCCTCAAACTAAGCCCAAGCCCCTCTGGAAAAGCTCCAACCTCCAGACAAACTCCAGGACTCTATGGAACCTGCATGAGGCGTCCCCTCCCTGCCCCCTTCCAGCTGTGCCTGCCCCTCAGGCCCTACTGGCACACAGATTCTCTGTCCACGGGGCCAGGGATGTGGGCGGGGGCTGGGGAGGGGCCAGAGACGTAATGAAAGGGCCTTTTTCTTCCACAGCTGGGAGAACAGCTGCCATCAAAGCAAGACTGGACACTCTGTGCCCAGAGGCCCCTCTGCAGCTGGCCTGTCCTCCTTGGACCCCACTTCACCTCGCTTTCCTTTCCTCCCATGCCTGGCTCCCACCAGGGCCCTGGAACAGTGGTAGGCAAGGGAAGTTTGTCACAGCAGCCACAGGGATCTAACAGGAGTGCAGAGGAAGAGGGGTAGCCTCTGCCCTCTGCCCAGGAGCTGCCCACCTCTTTCAAGGCCAGGGGAGCATTGGGAGGAAGAACTGTGGGGCAGTGTGGTACATGCCCACCCTCTCCATCTAGAGGGGTTGAGAAGGGGAGGGGCACTGGAGGGAACAGAGATGCAGGACAGATTGCACATCCTGGAGGACCTGAATATGCTCTACATTCGGCAGATGGCACTCAGCCTGGAGGTAATGCACCACCCCACCCCACCCCTCAGTGCACCTCCTATGCATGCATCCCATCCTCAGTCTCTGCCCTGCTCATCCCTGCTGGGGCTGAGGGCGGAGGGCAGGCCTGCTCAAAGTTGGGAGAGGGACAGGTGGTTCTGTATGCCCTGTGTTGGGTGCTGTGTGTGGACCCAGGCTCAGTATTGCCAACCAGAGCATTATATTGATAGCAGGGTCTTCACACCTACTTCTGGAAGCTCTGTGGGTGGGCATGGTTGTGTGTTCTGGGGCTGAAGGCCCTTTCAGGTATGGAAAGAAGAGAAGAGTTCAGTGTGAGAGAGGTATGCAGGAAGGACGTGGCCTTTCCTAGAGAAGGCGAAGGGGACTCTGGGTCAGGTTGTAAAGATTTTGCTAGCCTTAGAGATGACAAGGAGCTGTTTATTCATTTATTCATTCTTAAACATATTCATTGAACACTTACTATATGCCAAGCTCCTTTCTAGATCATGGGATACCTCAGTGAACTAGGCAGGAAAGGTCTATTCTTCTGGAGAACAGACAATAAACATGCAAACACATAAACTCACATGGTGAAATTATAATGAAAACAGGAGAATGTAATCAGCATGAGGTAGGGATGGCAGTATTAGATGTGGAGGTCAGGGAAGGCCTCTGTGAGAAGAGCTGAGACCAGAAGAATATGAAGATCAGTGAAGGTTGGAGGAGAGGCTTTCTAGACAGGGCATAGCAAGTGCAAAGGCCCTTACATGGGGATGAGTTCCAGTTCCAGTGTGGCTGGAACATAGTAGCTGAAGTGGAGCTCATGGGGAGGGGCCAGATTATGCAGGGCCTTGAAGCCAAACAAGGCACTTAGATTTTACTCTCAATGTGATGTTGGCCCATGGAAGGGTTTTGAGCAGAGGGACGACTCATCTAATGTTTTTAAATGATAGCTGCTGAGGAGAATAGGCTAGGTGGGGGTGGAGGTGGGAGAGAAGAGGGTTGGCAAGCGAGGTAGCAGAAGACCAGAGGATGGAAGGTTGTTACACCTTCAGGAGAGTGAATCTGGTGGTGTCAATGAAAGTGCTTATGGCTCAGAGAAATGGATAGATTTCAAATGATTGTGGTAGATCTGACAGGGCTTACTGATGGATTGGATGTGAGGGGTGAGGCAAAAAGAGGACTCCAGGATGATTTCTAGGTGTGGGGCTAAGCAGCTGGGTGGTGTGGTCATTGACTGGGATGGGGAAGATACAGGAAGCTGTGGAAATGACCATCTGGACCAGGCAGGGGTTTTCTGCTGAGGGAGGTCAGGGCAGGACTGCAAAGACTCTAGATCAGAAATGGCAATTCATTTCACATGTGTTGCCCCCTTGGCCCCGCCCTCACTCCCTGGACTATATAGTAGACATTACTAGTCAATCCCAGCACTCTTTACCAGCAAGCCCAGATGTGGCCTCAGAATCTTAGCACAACCTTTGCATAAGTTGTGCAGGTTTTTTCTTTCACAAGGGTGCCAGGCAGAGGCAGGAGTTCTGACCTGGTTTCTGGCGGCATCAGGATGGAACACCTTTATCTAATTTGTTTTCCTGAAGGGGGTTGCCTTTTTCTGATATGCAGAAAGCTGCCCAGTGAGCCTGTTGGGATTCTGACACTACGTACTGTCCTGTGTTGGCACATGAGATAAAACCTATTTGCCATCCCTAGTCCTCTGCACTGATCATGTTACTAAATACATGTGGCTATTTAAATTTATAATTTAGTTTAAAATGAAATAAAAAATTTAGTTCCTTAGTTGCTGTAGCCACATTTCAAAAGCTAAATGGCTCCTGAATATTTTCATTATTGCAAATTTTATTGTCCAGAGCTAGTCTAGGTATTTAAATGTTTAAATTCTGTATCCTTTCCCCACCCTCATGTAATTTTTCTTCATGAGAGGCCTGCCCAAGTCCTGGGGCAGAGGAATGGGCTTAAATTTCACTTTTGTCACCTCTCCTTCAGCTGTGGGCTGAGGGCATTGTACTCTTTCTCCATTTAGCTCAGCAGTACCCCTTCCTTCTCCCCAAGAGAAACCCATTGATGTTTCGGGGATTGGGAAGAGAGATAGTCATGGAAGAGTAAATCCATGAAGACTTTCTGGAGGAGGCAACTTAAGCTACAAGTAAAGGAGAGGTGGGAGTGAGAGAAAGGTTGTTTTTATGTGCTGGGCCCAAGTAGAGGTTAGACTTTTCCACTTAATCCTCAAACAGTGCTGTGAAGGAGGTGGAATACTTCCCCAGTTACAAACTGAGGCTACAAAGGTTAAGTTCTCACAGTTAGTGAAGTTCCTAAGTCAGGATTTGAATTTAGCCCTGGTGGAAATTCTGAAAGGAACAGAAGTTGAAGCAGAGCAGGAAGTCAGGGACAGAGAAGAGTGGGAAAGGATGTCCCTGGGGGGCCTAATTTGGGCTGGGGCTTCTGCCCATTACTCATCCTCCTTCAGTTGCTTGGGCCCTGATCCAGGTCCCACTTACATCCAACTTTGGGCTCTTTCGGCTCTCTCCCTGGAGAGTCTAATGAAAATGCTGCCTTCTTGGGGAGAGGGGCGTGTGTGGGTGGCAAGGGGGACAACAAGAGACCTCCCTGGGGCAGGGAGATGGGTGCAAAGCACAGGGATCCAGAAACTGTGCCAAAATTCCTGAGATGCTCTCTGCAAAGGGTGGAAGCTCGAATTTCTATACCGTGGGATAGTGGATTTGGGGCTGGAGAATAGACTTGGGGCAGGAGGGTGGAGAGCAGGTGGTAGCAGGGGTGTCTGGGCCCCTAGTCCGGCTCATTCAGACTGGGCCCAGGCACTTCTATGGCCCCATTTATTCCAATTTACACACTGTTCTCCCGGGCAAGGGGTCACCTTGGAGGGCAATGGCACCGGCCTCCTGCAGCTCGAGCTTGGAGCTATGGACCTAAGCTCTTTCCAGATTGATGCGGGCACTCCTGGAGTTACTGTCGCACTGCCACTTGGTCTCTGTGGTCATGCCACCGGGAGGCTGGGAGCCAGGAGCCTAGCTACACCAGGCTTACGGAAAGACCAACCGCGCCCTGGAGCCCCTAGGCCGGCGCTCTCGCGGCAGTTGGGAGCTGATGTCACTCGGGGCCCTGAGTGCAGCGGGAGGGAGAAAGGGAGGGGGAGAGGGTGGCTGGTGGCTGTGCCGGCACCAGAGCTGTACGGCTCCCCAGGACCAGCCCAGCTGCGCTGCCTGCGTTGGCGTGGCACATGCAATGGCCAGGGCTAGGGAAGGATCCGTGAGTGCTGGGACTGGGACCGAGAGGCCAGTCAGGAGGGGGCTTGAGGATGCCTGTCTGTCCCCCTCCCCCATTCTCACCTCTTTGGGAGAGTATATGGCAGAAGCTGGATGCAGAATGGGATGGGGGATGGCAAGCAGGGAAGCTTAGCAGAGGTGGATCCTGGTGCAGACAGATAGATATAGTGGGGTTGGGGAAGCTATGTAGTCTGGGAGGGCTTCCTGGTGGAAGGGGTTTTGGTACTGGGTTGGCCTATTTCTGAAGGGTCAGGAGATTGATAGTGCTGTATTAAGGGAGAATCTGGCCTTGCTCAGTGACCCAGGAATAGACAGTGAAGGAAGAATCTGCAGAGAGGCTGTACAAGGCTTTTGGAAGAGTTTAGGGTGTTCATGTCTTAGAGACTTGAAGGCCAGAGCCAACAGGGACAGAAGCAAGGGTACGGGGTGTGGGAGAGACCTGCTGTAAGGGATAAGACAGGTTTTGGGTGGTCACATTCACCCCCGTCTTCCAACTCAATGCCCCCACTGGCTTGCCTCCTGAACTGATCTGTATACTGTAATGGGGTTAGTCTTCCACTTCCTCTCTGAAGCCTTCCATATCACTCAACCAGAAGCAAACAGGGTCTATTTCCTGTGAGTGTGTTTATGCCATGACATGGCACTTATGGAGCAGCCATTAATGTCTGCATCTCTTACCTCCCAACTAGCTGGATTTTAAATGGAGCTTTGGAAAGCACAGGGATGCTCCAGTGTTTGTTTACGTGAATGCTACTGCTGCCAAAGTAGCATCATTAAAATGAGCATCCCTACCATTCATGTGTACCATGTGCTGGGCACTGTGCTAGTGCTTTACCTTCTGGTCTCATTGAATCCTCACAACCCTAGAATGTGGGGACTGTTTCTATCCTCATTTTGCAGATGGAGAAATCAAAGCTTAGGGAGGTCGAATAAATTGCCCAGTGCTTTCTTAATAAGTTTCTTCCCAGCTTCTCAAGACTGGCAAGGCTATGACATAGACCCAGGTTTGTCTTATGTCAAACTGGTGCTCTCTACCTCTGGACTGTGCCAAGACCTCCAGGGCTCCTTTCTGAGTGAATGTTCCTGAGAATCATGGTGCCTTCTCCAGTACCCCCACTCTGGCCCTATGCACGGCCTGCTCAGCCCCTCACTCCTGACCTCTTGCCTCACCTGCCTTCCCATCCCCATTCCTTGCCTCTGTCCTCACCTCCCAAGCTCAGAAGGCCAGCAGGTAGCAGACTCCTAATTTGGGGTTTGTACAGGGTAAACTCTGTAGGTGGTATGCTTCTTCTCTACTGAGCCCTTGCCAACTAGATATCCCTCCTATCCCATCTCTTGGGTCGTTGGGGTAACCCAGGATGGCCTTTATTATTTGTGTTAATTCCCTTTAGTTGATGGTTCTCAGCTCTAGCTGCAACTCAGAATCACTTGGGGGAATTAAAAAAAAAAGAATGCACATGGATATCTTTATTTTGCAAGTCTGAGGTCGGGCCTGGTACTTTTTTTTTAACTGAGAAGATTTAAGTTTTTTAAAAGGCAACATAATTCCCAATAGTACAGTAGTAAAGTACTAACATGTAAAGTATAATAAGTCTATTTTTCATTCCTGGCTCCCAGCTCTACAACCACTGCTATCTTATGAATATCTATGTCTATGTATATGCATGTGTACATATTGGGCACAAATGGTAGCATGCCATAATAGTGTTTTACTTTTCTCACTTTATATATTTTGAAGATTGTTTTATGTCTGCACACATGTCTACTTCACTCTTCAATGTCTGCAATATTCCATATCCCATTGTAGAAATGTTCTGTAACTTATTTAACTAATGCCCTGTTGAAAGACTTTTAGTGTTTTAAAACAATGCTGCCATGAATATGGCTTTGCCCATATGTGTAAACTATATTTGTAGGATAAAGATATTGGATAGCTGGATCAAAAGATATGTGAATTTGTAGTTTCAAAAGAGGCTGAAGGAATGTATATTCACCCCATCAAATGCAAGAAAGCATCTCTATTTTACAATGCTGCTCTGGTTCTTGGGCAGCTGAGGTTGAGACTGAACCCTTGCCCTTGAGGTACCTGAAATATAAGTTTCTTGTTAATTTCTCCTGGACCATAGCCCACTTGGGGACAGGAGCGTGCTTCCGCCTCTCACCTGATTGACATGTCCTTCTCATCCTTCTCTCTACTCTGGTTAGGACACAGAGTTGCAAAGAAAGCTAGACCATGAGATCCGGATGAGGGAAGGAGCCTGCAAGCTGCTGGCAGCCTGCTCTCAACGTGAGCAGGCTCTGGAGGCCACCAAGAGCCTGCTGGTGTGCAATAGTCGCATCCTCAGCTACATGGGCGAGCTGCAGCGGCGCAAGGAGGCGCAGGTGCTGGAGAAGACAGGCCGGCGGTAAGCAAGGGGTGTTGAGGCCTTCTGGGGGTAGTGGTGCAGCATGTGTGTACATGGAGTATAGACTACCTTGAAGCCAACCTCCCCAGGTCAGAAGCCTGGAAGACACCTTGGTATTTCACCACTGCAGTGTGCCGCCAGAGATACACTAGTGAATAGCTAGAGTAGGACTTAGCAAAGCCAGCATATCTGGTGAAAGGCCGGCATTCTGAGAGGGTAGTAATGCAAAAGCGCTACTATGCTAAGCCCTGCCTATGATCTGGTTGGCTGGCTTCTGGAAAGCCAGTTTTCTCAAAGCCAGTTCACCAAATGACCAATTTACCACAAACTGACAATAGTTCATTGTACCTGGGGTTCACTATCAGAGGCAGGGATTGGAGAAGGAAATAAAGAAAATTCAAGGGAAAGCCTACCCCTTTATATAAATTAGATTGTACATTCTGAAAGGGCTCAGCTTTTGGATTTGAAACTGGAAGCTGCATTGACATTAGACTCTGCTGATCTGAAAGATCTGCAGTGAAATGGTTGAGACGATGCTCCAGTAAAACAAAGATGTTAGAGAAAATATTTGGCAAATTGATCATTCTAAGAATTGACCATTTTGGGTAAATTGGTCACTTGGGAAATTCACTTCTGGCCCCACATGGCTGAGTGGAAGAAGGTCCTAGCTCAGCCATGAAGGCTGACACAAGGAGAGCTTGCCAGGAGCCCTCCAGAGCTCACCCATAAAGCCACAGGGAAGACAGAAACCCCACTCTATACCTTCCCCCTAAAGCTAAAGGAAGGGCAAGCAGGCAGAGGGGCAACTTCTACTATGAATTTGCTGTCTCCTGAGAGGCAGCCATCAATAGTCTTTGCCCTGCCCACGTCCCCACACGGTCTAGACAGTGTGACCTGAGGTATACCCCAAGCCCCTGATAGCTAACCACATTGCTATCAGTGCCACATCATTTAGCTTAAGGTCTAAGTTGCTAATTACATTGTTGGCATTATGAATTAGTATGAGTAAACTGGCCCTCACCTTAGGGAGGGACACGTTTGGCGAGTCCTGACAATGGGCAGGGAGGTGAGGAAGGCTGGGTGTCTGGGCCCTTGTGGTGGGGCACAGGGAAGGCTCAGCCTATCTAGCCAGGAGGGTAAAGGAGAAATCAAAGCTGATGATGAAGAGGAGAGAGGTTTGTGGCAAATGGAACACAAATGTTTCCTACTTGGATTTTTTTTTCATCACACAGTGGTTAACTTGATTTCCCGACTGACCTAGTATCCTCCTTTATGTAAGAAGTGATGAGACGGTGGAGATGACCAGCCTTCCTTATTGTTAAAAGGAAAGGCTGCAAACACCTCGAAGCCTGAGGTTTAATGGAGAAGAGCCCTTGAAAGGGAGTCTCTCTGTGGGCCTCTGTCCCTCAATCCCCATGGGTCCCTGGCAGGAGTCTGGGGAGGTAGTCAGGGAGGGTGCTTGGAGGGTGAGGAGCCCCAAGCTTATACTGTGTGTGAGCTAATGTGCCTCTAGTGACCACAAGCCCAGCAACCCCCTGGGTTCAGTTGACAACTCTAACAGTTCCCCTGGCTGGTGACCTAGGGGCTGCCTGGGCTGCGGGGGTGGAAAGGGGAGGCCAGGCTAGGACACTGTGATCTGCCCACAGGCCTTCTGACAGTGGGCCGCCTGCTGAGCGCTCCCCCTGCCGAGGCCGAGTCTGCATCTCTGGTAAGACCCACTGCCACCCCAGCCACTCTCCTTGCCCAACCACAAGATCTCCTGCCCCATCTCAACATCTCTTCCTACCCTTCTGCCCCTTAGACCTGCGGATTCCACTCATGTGGAAGGACACCGAATATTTTAAGAACAAAGGCGGTGAGTTTCACACAGGCTGAGACAAATTCATGGGAGTGACTCTGAGGTTGGAGGCTCCTGTGGGGCATGGTTTTTGTTTTTGTTTGGTTGGTTTTTTACCCCAGACCTGCACCGCTGGGCTGTGTTCCTGCTGTTGCAGCTAGGAGAAGACATTCAAGACACAGATATGGTCCTGGTGGACAGGACCCTCACGGACATCTCCTTTCAGAACAACCTGCTCTTGTGAGTACCTCATCCCTGTGGCTCCCTCCTCTCTCTACTCTGCTCCAGTATTCTAATGAGGTAGCTCTAGGGGAAGAGAGGGAGGGAGATGGGCCTTGCCTGTAGAGCTGTCCTAAGTTTGTACCACATCTGTCCTCCACCCCTACCCCCTACCCCTCATGCTTCCCTGGACTTCCCCAGGACCGTCCTCCTCTCTTCCTCCCATACTCCTACAGCACCGAGGCAGGGCCGGACTTTGAACTGCGGCTGGAGCTGTATGGAGCCTGCGTGGAAGAGGAGGGGGCCCTGGCTGGTGCCCCCAAGAGACTTGCCACCAAACTCAGCAGCTCCCTGGGCCGCTCCTCAGGGAGGCGTGTGCGGGCATCGCTGGAGAGCGCTGGGGGTTCAGGGAGCAGTCCCATCCTGCTCCCCACCCCAGCTGTGGGGTAAGGCCCTGCATTCCACCACTGCCCTCAGATGCCTATCCTGGCTACGGGTGACTTCTGAGCTGTGGGGAGCATGCAGAACCTACTTTGCACTGTTGCCAGGACATGGCAGACAGACGTGGATGAGCGGCGGCCACATAGCTGGGCCCAAGCCAACTGAGAAGACCGGTAGGAATGCAGGGAGAGCTAGGCCCCTAGGTCTTCACTTTTTTGCAGCAGCAAATGCATCTTATGTGAATGGAGTGCCTTGGTTGGAGGAGGGTAGCCCTAGGCTCTGTGGTGGTGTGTACAGACATCTAAAAGCACCCTGTGGAACCACTGCGCCTCTGAGGAGCAGTTTGAGAACCTCTAGGGTAATGAACAGAATGCTGATTTTGAAGACAGACATGAGTTCAAATTCCAGCTCCACTATCTACCAGCTATAAATTATGGACAAATCTCTTAACCTCTCTTGCCTCGAGCTGCCTCATCTATTAACTAAAGAATGCCATCAACCTCCCAGGGCTGTCATGGGAATACAGTAGGATAACACATAACAAGCACAGGACCCGGCACTTAGCAGGAGCTCAGTAAATGTCTGTTCCCAACTTCCATGGGGGAGGCGAGAGAGTTTTCTGTGAGGCTGCTGGAACAATAGGGTAGACCTCAGCCCTACAGTTCCTGCCTTCTGACATGACCCTCATGTGCCCCTCACTTGGCTGAGGTCCACTTCTCCATCTGTCCTACAGTGGTCCTCGTTACCACCTCTTGGCTCATACCACGCTCACCCTGGCAGCAGTGCAAGATGGGTTCCGCACACATGACCTCACCCTCACCAGCCATGGTATGTGTATGTGGGCGACTCTGGGTGGTGAGAAGAGGGGCCGTTTGGATGGTCCCCTTCTCATTCCCCACCCTCACCCTGCACTTCCTCTCCCCCAGAGGAGAACCCCACCTGGCTGCCCCTTTATGGTAGTGTATGTTGCCGCCTGGTGGCTCAGCCTCTCTGCATGACTCAGCCAACTGCAAGTGGTTCTCTCAGGGTGCAGGTGAGGGGCCCTGAGGAGTGGGAGGGAACAAGAGAAGGCAGAGGAAAGCTGGGTCACTTGGGAGTCAAAAGATACTGAAAAATCAAGATCTGGGTAGAAGGTGGGGGGCGGGGGGAGTATGGCAAGATGAGAGGAGGCCCAGACAAGAGGATGGGCAGAAAGGAGATTCTAGATGCGGGGATGGGAAGGGTGTTGCGGGGTTATGATTTCCCTGGGAAACCTTGAGTCATTTATGCAGCAAGCTGGGGAACGGCGGGACTGGGCACGAGTGCATGGAGTCCTAAAAGGCACAAACCTCTTCTGTTACCGGCAACCTGAAGATGCAGATGCTGGGAAAGAGCCACTGTTTACTATTGCGATCAACAAGGTGATGGGTCTCCTGGTCAAGCCACGAGGTGCTAGGGCCCAGGAGCCTCTCCTTCAGGCTCCAGGAGGGTGGTGGGTGCAGGCCTCAGAGAGATCAAAGCCTCCTGCTCCTCATAGCACCATACCCAGCTCCAGGGCCAGGAATGTTGAAGGGACCGTATTCTACCTATGCAACATCACTGGAAGAAGGTTGACCCTTCGACTCACCAGACTTAGCCCCTGCCAGTTCTGAGAGGGTTTTACAGCCAGTTTAGGACTTTTCATCCTCCTTCTATCTTTCTCTTCAGATTCCAGTCTGCATCTCTTCCACCCTTTCCTGGTTTTCTCTCCCAACCCAAGTCCAATGACCCCTCTGTTCTCTAGCCCTTTTGCTGATTTTCTTGCTGAATTTTATGGAAGTAGTGAGCGACTTTAGTGTTCCTGCCCATCTCTGTGCCTGCCCCCACCCAACCCCTCTTT